ACAGTCCCTACAACAACTGTACTTTACTGTCAAAAATTATCAATAAGTGATAATATATTAATATAGGCATAATATTAATATATTTAGAATAAAACAAACCGGTCTGATGACCTATTATGCATTTAAGTATATAAAAATCTAAGGAGTGATACAAAGAATAGGGCTATTAATGCTTTTGTCTGGCAGAGATGAGATGGAAACCTGAGGCAGTTATTCAGAGTACAGGCAAAAGAAGGAAGAGAAACCCCCATGTTGGGACTTCTTGTCAAATAATTTTAGAACTACAGCAACTGCATTTCCCTTGATAACAAGGCACTCACCGTGACTTACTGAAATGCCCTGGCAGCAATTCTGGAAATGACCAAGCTGATACCAGATGCTGCAAGAATATACCATGAATCTGATCTGCTCTGCAGGCAGTCAAAAAGGGAAACAGAAAGACAAAACTCAAACTATTAGCCCAAATTTGTAAAAAACAGAGCAAGGATTACAATACACCTCTAGTAGGCATGGTATCTTGCCTACATCCAGTATTTCTGTTAGCTACAACGTATGGATACTAACAGTTTCTCAAAGTTAACTGTTTTAGACCATGAAGAGTCAGATAGGCTTGCCATGAGAAAGCCAGCAGGTCATGGAAAGGGATATTCAGGTCAAGTATTCATTATTTTTAACCATACATAATTACTTAACATTGCATATGCTCAGTTTAAGGTCCATAGATAATACTGCTTCTTTGCAACACTCCCAACGGCATGGCTAAAGCCCATACTTTTAAAAAATGACCACTAGTGTTATGATCCCAGTTGCTGGATGTCCTTGATTTTTACTGGGGCTGTGCACTCAGAATTTTAAATGAAATAAATAGATCTGAGTACATGGAAACCATGGCTTAGTTTTCTGGAAGCTGCCAGTCATGGTGACTCCTCGACTAAATTCAATGCAAAATCTGGGCCCTACCAGCCACTTTTTAAATGAGCTATGTCTTAAACCCGATGATTCTCCCCTAAGAAAATCCAGAGAGACAGTAACAAAGCTAAAATTAGAAATCAGGAGCTGCAGCTTTCAAGGCAATGCACATTACGTGACATTTTTTCAATACCACAGGCATTTTCTGTTAGCAAAAATGGCTTACAGAATATATTCCACAATGTAAAAATCCTCCTTCAAAACTCAGGGTTGGATGACAACATGGTGTTTACTTACCAAATTTCAAAACCCCAGCATTTAAAAGAAACAGTGAAGAACAATATAAATAATTAATTCTGATGATTAAATAATGACTATAGCATCATAACTTGTAGTTATAATGGCATCAACCAAGCTATGCAACTGCTCTCAAAAATAATATATGCAGTCAAAATAGTAATCTATGGAGGTGCCGTAATCTGTTCAAAGCACATCACACAATTAACACAGTCTCCAAAATACCTTCATGAAACAAAACTTTGCTTATACGTACACCTAATGCTGAAAAATACAGACTTAGATGGAACATTTCATTGTTCACAAAGAATAGGGAAAATATTCTTTAAATATAAATCATGGTACATATTTTAAGAACTTGTATGCTAACAGCCTAGATCTAGAAAACGGAATTTTAAGAACAAAGAGAAATGGTTAACCTCAGGCATATTCCAGCAAAATGCTTGGCCCCTTGTGAGCTCCCCACACCCAGCAAATGACAAGCAAACTAGGATCTGCAGAGTCGGAGAACGCCCCATTACAACCCGCTAGGGCAAAGCACCACCTACACAGGGAGGCTTTCCACTGAGCAGCGTGGTTTCCAAAGCTGATGGGACAACTCTGGTTTACTCTTAATCCAAGTCATAAAACTCTTTAAAATGGCAGTTTACAGCTAAATAGGTAAAGCCACCATTTTATGTTCCACTTAAGTCTAACCAAATATAATGCATTCCGCACATACTACAGTTTGGATAGCTTAGTCATGCCAGACGAGGCCTTGCTGCTGAAAATCTTTAGTAGACTTGTAAATTTAAAAATAATTCTTCTAATGTTCGTGTAGCAAAAAAGCTTCTGTGCTTCTACCAAATTCTCAGACCTAGAAGCAATTATAAAGACTGGTTAACAAAACGAACACTGAAATCCACATTGGGCAACTCCTGGGAAGAGGTCTGGATTACATTTTTGGTGAGATCCTGCATTTCTTCATATTTTCATCCAGACAAATGTATCACCATTTTGGATTGCTCTCCAACTCACCCCCTGTGTTATGTTCCAAGACAGTGCTTGGGTGGCCTGGACATGTCACCTTCACCTTCCCTACTCCTTATCTTCGTTAGGGAAAAAGAATGACAGAATCAGAGAGTGCTATGGGGTTGGAAGGGACCTCTGGAGATCATCTAGTCCAACCCCCCTGCCAAAGCAGGTCCACCCAGAGCAGGTTGCACAGGAACTTGTCCAGGCAGGTTTTGAATGTCTCCAGAGAAGGAGACTCCACCACCTCCCTGGGCAGCCTGTTCCAGGGCTTTGCCACCCCAAAGTAAAGAAGTTCCTCCTCATGTTTAGATGGAACTTCTTATGAGGAGAGGCTGAGGGAGCTGGGGTTATTCAGCCTAGAGAAGAGGAGGCTGAGGGGAGACCTTATTGCTCTCTACAACTACCTGAAAGGAGGGTGTAGAGAGATGGGGGTCGGTCTCTTTTCTCAAGTCACAGGCAACAGGACAAGAGGAAATGGCCTCAAGTTGCGCCAGGGGAGGTTCAGGCTGGATATTAGGAAAAATTTTTTCACTGAAAGGGTTATCAGCCATTGGAATGGGCTGCCCGGGGAGGTGGTTGAGGCACCATCCCTGGAGGTGTTCAAAAAACGGGTTGATGTAGTGCTGGGAGGTATGGTTTAGTGATGATGCTCCTTGTTTGTTGTGTGGGTGTCTATTTTTGTCAGTCAGGTTGACGGTTGGACAAGATGATCTTTAAGGTCCCTTCCAACCTAGAAGATTCTGTGATTCTGTGATATTCAAGTTTGTGCCCGTTCCCTCTTGTCAGGTCACTGGGCACCGCTGAAAAAGGACCAGTCTCATCCTCTTGACACCCTCCCTTTAAGTATTTATAAGCATTGATCAGATCCCCCCTCAGCCTTCTCCAGACTAAGGTAACAGTATGTATTTATATTGTAGGGAGGGCAGGGCTGTTAAGCCTGCAAAACTGACGAGAAACGTTCAGATTAAAGTGGCGTGGCTGAGCTTCTGGGAGCAGGCCAGCCTCACCTACTTTCATCGGAGGCAAGGGGGAAAGGAAGGGGGGGGGGCGCCAACATTTTTTTGGGGTGGGAGGAGACCCCTTTATCACTCAGCTCTCCCGCCTCACACAGGGCCAGGCTGGGGCGGGTAGTGGGGGGAAATGGCCGACACCGGGCGCTCGACGCCCCGTCGTCCCTCTCCCGGTTTCCCGCCCTTGGCTGCAGGCCCCCCCTCAGCGCCCAGCGCGAGCGCCTCCCGCTGCGCATGCGCAGCCGCCCCCCTCCCCCCCCCC